TACTGGTAATATGACTTGCATGTCCTAATTTTAATCCCCCGCTTTCACCGAAACGGGGGATATTAATTTGGGTTTGTCCGTCTGTCTGTCTGTCTGTCTGTCACGCTTCGTTTCCGTACAATACTTGCAACAAATGTTAAACGATTTTCTTCAAACTTGGTAACAGGGTTAAATGCATTAAGGGCTCGGCCAAGTTCGATGACCACTCTCAGCGCACTTAATTTGGCGGAGTCAATCAGGACCTATTTAGGTAGGTGTTATAAGGATTCCGTCCATTTATTGATGGAGCTTCGATCTCCTGTGCATCGCTTATCAGCGTTTTCAGCTGACTCTCGACATTTAATTATTTCAGAAGTCAAATATTTTTTTCTTGTGTGAAAGTCAAAACACATATCCAATAGACATGTCCTTTCAAACGCAAGAATCAAAGCTCATTTCTGGAAGTTAACATGCTCTCAAGGATACGTTAAAGCCCTGAGCTAATACAATTTAGTAAATATGTGATTTTTAAACTTCTTTATCTAAAATAGAAATCACCAGTGTGCCAAAGGAGTATCTTAAACAGTTTAGTTTTTCTATCCGAAACAAATAAAAAGGTTCTTCTTTTGGCATTGCAAAAATAGTTTTGTTAAAAATAACGTTTTCTCACTCAGAACTAGAACACATTTGTAAAACATACACATTTGGTATGAAAGTACATAATGAGAATGCGCTGTGTCACGTACCATAACAAGATCATTGCAACCTCCTTTGACCTTTTGACCTAGCATTTCAAATATAGAAAGATAGGTTTGGTTTTTGAGAGGATATATCGGCCCCTGTTTCGTGTATAGACATCATACTTGATATGTAGATACATCAGGGGGAAACGCTGTGTTGTCTACCGTATTTAGGTCATTGCGACCTTCTTTGACCTTTGATTGGATGCAGAAATAACGATTTACGGACTCGTACCAGTACAGGAATTATATAAATATGGCTGAAATGTAGTTCATACATAAACTATCGCGCACGAACTCTTGTTATTAAAGACAACATATCCTGAAGTCTCAGTGGTAACACCCAATCACGTTCTCGGCACAAAACGTAAGTGAGTATAACCCAATGAGTTTCGAGGATGGCGACGACGTAAAAAACCGAAATGTAATTTTGTGAAGTCAATGGGGTTGACCGTTTGAACGGAATGGATTTACAACGTCGTTTATTGGACAACGTTTTTTGGAAAGTCTTTAACTCCGCTAAAATCAGCTCGACTCTCCCAATCATTCATGCAGGAGTGGGACAACATCCCTACTAACGTCATTTGACGTCATACAGATTCTGTGTTGCAGAGTTTCAGTGCGGTTATAAAGGCCAACGTAGCATACAGCTTGTAATTTTGTATCGGATACCCCACCTGTCATCTGGGTCGATTGAATCAACCAGGCACGACAGATTGTTTTAGACTTATAAATATTACATTGATAGCACAGTGTTTCATATGAAGGATTTTTTTTTCCGAAAATAAATTGATGCCTCGTATATAGCGCAGGATGGACTAACGGAGTTGGGGTTCGCACATTGGTACTATCTTAATAAAATACTATCAGCGTTTGTAATTGAATAAAACGTATAAACGCAGCTACGCGTCTTCGGGCTAACACATATATCAAATGGTATAATTAATGGAAATTCGCTGCCTACTTTTTATCCCAATCCTTTTTGTTCATAATACACATATATCACTGCATTTCATTAAAATACATGTGTAAATACAATAAGGCATATTACTGAAGTCTGTTTTATCCCATCGATTTTCGCTACCCTAAAGCAGCAGAATGGGTCACATCTGTTCAGCATGATTCTGACTGAAAGGCGTCATATGTATCTTATTGATATGTAGAACAAGAAAACGGTTTCTGAAAATAAACGAGTCTAAAAATAACCGTCTCCAGGCCCCTGTCGTTTGTTTAGCTCTGCATGTCGGGGATTGAGAAAATATACCTGCTCTTACACACTGCATGATCAGTAAGAGGCGACTAATGTGGTGACCCCCTGCAGTCTCGGGCGATTGCTTTTGTTCCCTTTTCTTAGAGAAATGAAAGCGACTAGAGTAAATCTGTGGCACCTCTCGACTTCCTATCTGCTCTATATTTACTAGTACCGTGCTTGGCAATACCTTACTTGTGGCCTTAGTGTTAGACGTCCGCCACATGGGGATGGCGATTTCATTTAAGGCAACGGACGTATTAAAGACCGTAAAAATGGTAGTTGTTATACCCTGCTAAACGTTCAGCATTTAGGGTTAACCAACAACTAATTAACCCGTTGTCAGTGAGCGGGCAGAATATAGTGCTTAGTACATTCCGCAAATGCAATTGGATTTCAGTGGAGTAGCACTCAAAGTCGGCATCAGACCCCCTATCCCAGGGGAGTAAGTACTTCCTTTAGCTATTGGTAAGACGCTAAATCCAATTAAAACCAAACATGTATAGCTTTTATTGGGAGAGAGTTTCAACGAAGGGTGATAACGCTAATATATAATGAAACTGTACAGTGAAACCTCCATATTCTGACTAATTCTACTTATGGGCCCTTCTTCTCCTGTCTGAATTTGTAGTTTTTATTATGCAGGAAAAAAGGTGTAAATCCCTCAATTTTCACTTGATTTAACGTACACATCATATGACAAAACAGATCAATGTTATTTGAAGACAAAAGGCCCAATGGGCCCAATGGGCCTGCATCGCTCACCTGGTATTAATCTCACACTTGTAATCTTAAAAGTGGACTAAAATACAGCTGCAGGCAGAATATCAGTGTTTGATTCATAAGAACATATTAAAAGATTTAAACATACGACGCCTGTGCCTTTGAATGTAAACAAGGACATTAGGTTGAAAGTGGGTCAAGGTAATTCATTTCAACAAACTTGGTAGTTCTTCATCCCAGCATGCAGCAGGCCCAATATCAGTACCCTGGGCCTTTTGGTTATTGAGAAGTGGTTTGAAGATTTTGAGACATTTGACACCTGTCACCTTGAGAGTTGGTCAAGGTCATTAATTTGAACAAACTTGGCAACCCTTCATCCCAGCATGCTACAGGCCCAATATCAGAACCTTGGGCCTTTTGGTTATTCAGAAGAAGTCATTTGAAGATTTTAAGACATTTGACCTCTGTGACCTTGAACGTGGGTCAAGGTCATTCATTTGAACAAACTTGGTAGCCCTTCATCCCCGTATGCTACAGGCCCAATATCAGAACCTTGGGCCTTTTGGTTATTCAGAAGAAGTCATTTGAAGATTTTGAGACATTTGACACCTGTCACCTTGAGAGTTGGTCAAGGTCATCAATTTGAACAAACTTGGCACCCCTTCATCCCAGCATGCTACAGGCCCGATATCAGTACTCTGGGCCTTTTGGTTATTGAGAAGAAGTTGTTTGAATATTTTAACATATTTCAACCTCTGTGACCTTGAAAGTTGGGCAAGGTCATTTATTTGAACAAACTTGGTAGACCTTCATCCCAGCATGCTACAGGCCCAATATCAGTCCCCTGGGCCTTTTGGTTATTTAGAAGTGGTTTGAAGATTTTAAGACATTTGACCCCTGTGACTTTGAAAGTGGGTCAATGTCATTCACTTGGACCAACTTGGCAGTCCTTCATCCCAGCATGCTACAGGCCCAATATCAGAACCTTGGGCCTTTTGGTTATTCAGAAGAAGTCGTTTGAAGATTTTAAGACATTTGACCCCTGTGACCTTGAATATAATTGAAGGTCATTCCTTTGAACAAACTTGGTAGCCCTTCATCCCCGTATGCTACAGGCCCAATACCAGTACCCTGGGCCATTTGGTTATTGAGAAGAAGTTGTTTGAAAACCTCTTGGGGTCAAAGATGAGCCCAAATACAGCACACTTTGGATAAAGCGCCTTTGATTTGAGTGAAAGAAATGTAAGCCTCATTTAGCATGGAGTATCCTGGTAAAGGGGCTTTTATTTACTGTTGTATAACTCAAGTTTGCCAATCCACTTAGGAGCAAAGGAGCGGGCCAAATGAAGGAAAAGGGCAACACATGTTTTGACATCATCCCCAAATCTTACCGAGAATGTTAGCTGAAGTTTTTCATAGCGATTTGAAATCCATGATAGTTGTGTTGGACGAGGTATTTTCAAACCCTTCTTCATTTTGATCTAGCCAATAATAACCAAACGCTATAGAAATAATGCTATATCATGTTATGGAATAGGTGCTGTAGTTCTTTGGATGATATTGGAAACACGAAATTGACAATCTGTCTCCTGATGGGCTAAAATGTTTTTGACTAATTCAGAATTATATCAAGCTAATCTGAACATAACATGGTAGCATTGTTTCTGTCACTGCCCTTACAAAGTGATACATGTACTTTAACTCTTAGTGTCAGTAAGAAATATTAAATGCCACCATAGTTGTAAGGTTGCAAGGAATTTCACTTCTTGTCTCTCACAAGAAGAGTGATACAGGCTTTTAGGCCTCTTGTGAACTTTCATTGCAAGTTAGGTTGGTTGGGACTGAGTGTACAGTAATTATCTAAAATGTATTCCTATTTGTATTGCATATTCTCAACAATAGTATATCCTCGGAATACAAGAGGTTGCATCACTCAAAGGTCAAAGGTTAACCAGCAGTTAGTATCTCCAATGTCCTTATCATTATGACCTTATCTAGATCAGGCTGTGTCAATTTTATATATATACTATCAACATCAGAGAAAAACTAAAAGACAGATGGTAGAAGAAACAGGTAGATTACTAAAATTCTTAGACTTATATTTTCATGCTAATTCATGAAGATAGACAACAAGGAATTCCGATATACCACAATTTCAAATCCTGGTGAATGTTGATTGAAAGAACAACCCTGAACATAAGTGTTGTGAAAAGTGAGTGATATACAGTAGATGATACTGTTACCAGGAAACACATAGACCAAACTTAGCTTCAGTATAACAAACACACATTTAGATTTTATGGTTTTTTTTATTTCATTTTTTTTTTCTTTTTCCCAAAACAAATCAACAATTAATAACATATATCTGATTTTATTTCTCCTAGCAGTTAAAACTTTAAATAAATATCAATCAAGTATATTTTTGGTATAAACAGAGAGAAACAAAAAATATCCATGTTTCATGATTGCTATATAAAACCTTAATAAATACTATTGAAAATGTTTTATAAATAGAAATATGGACGGATTTGCACTAAAAACACTTGCTTGGTATCTTTATTTGGAATGACTTGAATTTAAACAAAATCTTTGTAGAAAAAATATGTTTTGCAAATATCTATCATTAGGAGCATGTAAAATGTTAAAGTATTGGACGGAATGTTTCAAAAAAGAACAGCTCGCAACCCTACAAAGTTCAAAATTTCTGATGTACAAGTAAATTGTAATATGCATCAAATTGAAATAATGAAAATACTGAGATGATTTCAAAATCATTTGTTTCTAAATGTACAGAATATAATTAAGGAAGAATTTGTTGGCTTTCTCTGGCAATTTTCTTATCACGAGTCACATAAATATTAATGTTGCCTGTTATAATGATCCCAATTTTTCCATTAACATTTTGTTAAAGAACATGATGCAAAGATGATGATACAAAACTGCTCGTTTCTTCATATTTGTTGCACGTATTGATTCATTTTGTAAAGTAAACATTTGAGAATCTCTTGAAGAATCTGACGATATGAATCTCTCGTTTGCATCATATTTATTCCATATATTGATTAAGGCGGCAAAGCTGTGACACAAACCAATTTTAGGTTATAAACAAACTGTGTATATCAATGATCAGCTTGGTTTTCTTATTGATGTTATTGTACAGACCGGGGTCACAGATGGTGGCAAAGACGCCAAACAAAATCACTCAAACCAAGATATACTGTACATGTAAATATATATATATAAAATCAATACTGTATTTATTTCTTTTTTCTGCAATTTACGAAAGTATTGATAAAGACCAGATTGAATTAAGCCATTTTTCCAAAAACTGATTTCTTTTCTACAATAATTTATCTCACAAAGGTTTTGAAAGCTGTTTCTCTCTCTTAGGCTAAAAATGATGTATATATATTTTTTTAATACAAAAATAATCTTCAATCAACAATTACATCTATTGCGAATTTTGATTTTGCAAAATTCAATATAATTAATACTGTTTATTTTGGAGTGTATCTTTAAAAGATTTCTATTTAGACCAGAATTTATCTTCCATTAATAATAAACTTGAAATCTGCTTTTTAAACAAGCATTGCAATATCCTTTACTATCGGTTACCAATATATCTGGTAGTAGGTATTCACTGCATTTTATTACCAGTAGGTAAGTTCAGCACACCAATACAACTTTTGGTATACGAGTCAGTGAGAATAGGCCTGATGTAGAAATATCACAGTTCGAAGTACATGTATAACTGTTCACACCCTGACTGAAAAATAAATATCTTATGAATCCAATATCCATCTTGATATGTTGTTTTCTTTCTCCTTTTGCTAAGGCCAGTTTGAATCTCATTGTGTGTAATTATATTATTTATATACATATATTTATTTCATTTGTAGAAATAAATGAATATCACATTTTGTAGTCTTTTCCCTTTTCAAGGGAAGATAATCCAAGGGAGATAATCAGTAGTTGAGTGCACACAGCATTGCCACACCCCTCTTTATCCAGTGGCTCTGTGATTCGTCAGTAGGCAACTCAACCGAAAACACAAAGTTGGTGGAATGACCAGTGGTGGACAGAGTACCTAAAATGAACAAATTGTCAAATGGTCAAACTTAATATACTAGATAGACTGAGTCACTCTAAAATGGTCAGTCCACATGCAATTGGACACAGAGTCAAACGGTTATGCAGTTGTCTTGCACATGTATCTTGCTTTTCCCCTTAATTTTTGTTATTTGAAATACTTTATACAGTAAAATGTAAAGATTTGTCCTTTTCTTTATTCTTTCCCCTGAATAAAAATCTGAATTTGATGTTGAGCAAAATTATTTTTCAAAAAGTATGTCCAACACAGGTACCAAGTAAAGTATTAATTAAACAAGAGGGAAAATTTAATACAGGCAAAAAGACTGAAAGATGCACAGATGAAATAATTAAAGCACCATAATAGTATTACAGCTTATCATGATCTTTCAGATGATTAAACACCTTATGAACTACTCCTCTACAGAATTTTGTTTTGTAAGACAATATCTTTATCTGTATTGTATATAAAATATCATAGTATACTCGGTAGCATCTATAAGTTATCTATATACCATTATGTATAGTGAACGAAAGTACCTATCAATTGGAGTAAGTGCTAATCCCGCTATGAAACCATTACCTGGCCATTAGGGCAAGCTCTGATAGATCAGATATATACCTGTTCTGTCCCCCCAGGGGGCTGGACAATAGAAAACCAATTAATATGGTCAAAACATTGACCGTGAAGATCTGGGTATGATACCTGGTTCTGTCAATCACACTCAGACCAAGCCCATTGAAATTTTGGTTGTAGGTAAAAGTATTTGGCAAGACGACTTTGCCTGTGGGTATTTTTGTTGGGGTCTAGCTAGCTATTTCTACCATGTCATTTACATATAGCAATCTGTCTCCAACCAATCTTCTTTTCATAATCATGTTAAGGGTTCTTTAAGACAATTTCTTTCAAATCAATTTCATTCAAATTCAATTTCAGTTGCTAAGTGTTTACATTAAATCAGGGCGGGACGGGACAGGACGCAACGCGAAGGGACAGACATGGGCAACACTATATACCCCCTCAATTTTATGGCGGGGGCATAACAATTACATACCAGCTCTGGTCAGTGTCTTGTAGACTGGACAATCGTAAAATCCAGTTTCGCTCAGTTTGCGGCTGGTGACTGGCTTGAGCCAGATGACAGGAACCTCTGTGAAAAGATCCTTGGGTCGAGACTCGCCCAGCTGGTGATGGGTGTTGTCCCAGCGAGCACCCTCTAGGTAAAGCCCTCGAATATAACATCCATTCTCAGGACTCCCCTTCAACTCCTCAACAGTTTCTCTCATTAACTGTAACAATAGATAAGTAAATTTACCCCTTTGTCCGGTATTTATTTGTAAAAATATATACCAACAAATTTACCTACTCTGTGCTGTATTCATCTGTAAAACAATATATGCCTACAAATAAAACAAGAGGCCCATGGGCCTTAACGGTCACCTGATATATTTATACAGAGAGTTGATTTTGTTTTTAACATGAACAGAAATATTATTCAAAGTGACAAAAAACAATAAAACCACCTTACTCAATATCTAGCATACAGATTTCAGACTAAAAAGGATTTGAAACTAGCACCTCTGATTCTTAACAAGTAAAATGAAGAAATTTTAGCACACTGACTCCTTTGAGCTCCACCCTACAGCCCTTGGGGGTAGGGCTGGCTCAAAATTTTCAAAGTATCAAACTGTCAATTCAAGGTTATAATTCCAATCAAGTTATTAACATGTAATATTCA